AAAAAGAATTAACCCTTTAGGGACCAGCAATTGGTGCGATGGCTATGTTGTTGGACTCCCAAGTAGTCGACTGTGGTTTGAGTCCTGGACCCGGCGGCTTAAACTCACGCTGGGCACGTGTGTGTGTGTGCCCAAGATCCCAAGAGGAGAATGAAGGAAAGGGGATTGTGGTGTGGCCATCCCCCCTGGCGAGTGATTTCTCGCTGTCTGTCTGTCTCTCTCTCTATCTCTCTGTCTTTCTGGTGAGCACACGCACCCTATAGCAAAAACCTCTCCAAAAAAAGAAAAAGAAAAAGAATTCCCTTTATCTACAGGAATACTATGATGAAGTCGAAGATCCACATAACTAGTGTAAACTCCTCTGTAAAATTAGGGAACTAGATCAGGCCATCTACCCTGTCCCATCCAACCTGGCAAACTGGTTTCAAAGCTCAGATCTTCCACAGTGTAAAGATTTGCCCTCTCTGCAATGGCAGATGGAGAAAGGAAGGTCCTTCATATTGTAGGCCCAGCTTTCTGATGCAAAACAAAACAAACAAAACAAAAAAACAAAAAATAAAACACAACTATGTTAGTATTAAAGCAGATTAATAAACTGTAAATATTTTTTTAGCATGTTCACAGGCTACATATTGAATGCTTTCCAGGAGGATATAAAATTTGAGAGAAAGACCAGTGAATTACTTCCTAAGCCCTGAGACCACAATCTACATCCATGAAACTGTTCCATGATGTATTTTCTTGAGGTTATCTGCAGTAGAGAATTTCTCTCACAAGGCTCTAAAAGACTTTTTTTTTTTTTTAAGAAGCATCAAGAAATTATGATTCAAGAATTTGAAACTCTAATGTTACAGACAAAGCCTCATTTTTATGAAATAAGAAATACTCTGTTTCTTCTACTTTATCAAGGGATGTCACTATTAAATAGTGTTTCTGCAGCATTTCTGGCTAGTGGGACACTGCTCACTCGATCCTTGCTGAACTCCACACAGGAGTGATGAGCTTCATGTCTTGCACTCAGGCATTCCACTTAAGCTTGGGATTGAGGCCTTCTGTGATTTGACACCAGGATGATTCTGCAGTTCTGCCTTGGTTATCTGGGGTACTGCTACAACCTTTTGCTTCTCTTTCGGAGAAAGATAGTCTTTTCACTTGATAGCTCTTCTACTGATGACATACTAGTTACAGCAACTAAATGGTCAGAGGTAATTTCTTCCTCGTTTCTGTTTGAATCTGGCAAAATATTAAGAACAACTTCTTACAACTCTTGTATTGATGTTGCTCCATTTTTAATGGCTTCTTCATATAGTTTAATAACATCAAAACTGCCTTTACATACCAACAGCTTGGCTTTGTGGATCCAGAATTAGCAAATTTTCAGCCTCAGGAAATCTGGACAATATGGTAAATATTTCATTAGAAGGTATATCCTCTTCAATGAATTGCAGACCATTTGCTCAGAGTGTCTGCACTGTTCAAGTTGGACAATTCAAGTTGGAATTTATTTTCCACGTATTTTTCGATGCTCTTCCAGAATGAAGTATTCATTTCCTGTTTCTATTTTTGAGTTCCGTAGGAGGCTGATTATAGATGTTTCCCCTTAGATTTCTGCCATTCTTCTAGTTTCCTTCAATCTACTGCGGTAGGCTTCTTTTTTTATTTATTTTTTTATCTGGATTAGTTTGGATCTCATTTAGGACTTTGTTTCTCTTTAGTTGCATGTTTGGGGAGCTGCCTTATTCAGAAAATAATTCTAAGGAAGTCTTTTTCAACTTGGAGTCCAAAGTCTGTGCTTTTTGTTGAAAGTTGTTGTACTTACTACCATTGGTTTCATCTGCTCTTATGCTTGGGGTGCTTGGAATGACTGAATTAAATCTGCCAACTGTCAGATGAGACTAGGGCTTATGGCTTTTGATCTTTGAAGTACATACAACATTGGAGGTCTAAAATAGCTTGAGTGGACTTCACATTCTGCTTTCTGTTTGGAGGTTTATTATCATATCCACCCTGAAGCAAATTGGGGTATACCTTGGGTTTAGAATGTTTTAACTTTCTGCTCATTAACAAGGAATGACTGCAACTTAGTCTTTAGGTCCTTCGTATTTACTCCTACTAATATTTATGTCTTTGACCACTAGTTTCTTTGATGCTTAAGTCAGATTAAAGGTCTGAATAAGGGGAGAAGGAATTGTCCTTGGGGTTTTTTTTTCTGCTGGTTGTAAGACCTGCTCCTTGAAACAGCTGCTGTGACTTTATTAGAAGAGTCCCGATTTGTATTTCTCCAGTAAGTTGCTTATTAACTCTGTCTTTAAGAACAGCACCATTCACTGTACTTTTGCCCATGGCTTTTTTAGGAGCCAAACTACTCTTGATTGTATTATAAGAATTAGACTTTAGCTCAATTATGGTACATAATTCAGAACGTGGCTTCCTCTAAGGTTCTGATAAGTTCTGGGGGCAAGTTCTCTTTGTTCATCTCTCTTAGAAAGCTATCTGAATATTGGTTTTCAACATGGCTACTGTCCACAGAGTCTATACATTTAGTATTTCCTTGATCTGTTACTTGCCGCTTAATAGTTTTCAATTCCTGTATATTGAGGGACCCCACAGGTTTTCCTGACAGTTCTCCTGCAGTGGACGATCCAGTTTCGTGCAGCTGCTGAGTCGTCCTGGAAGGCTTACCATTTGGGTTAAAAGAAACACATCCTGAAGTCAGTCCGTTGCCCACAAGTTTTGGTGGTTCCAATTTGGCTTCAGGAACCCTGTGACACTGACTTTTCTGTGTTGTAGTTTAATACTGATGGGCCCTGTGGTTTTGACAGGCAAAACAACATGGTTGGTAAAATCTTTTTGGGTCTTGTATTAGATTTAGGAGGTGCTGGAATTCAGGCAATTATTCTTGGCCTTTAGATAAGGCTTGGTGTTTTGATTCTTCGGTTTTCCCTTGGTTACAAGGTACCTCCTGGAGCTTTTTCTGCCACTACACAGCAGACCCAGGCTGCACTATGACTTCTCAACATGACAGTTTTTATTCAAAGGTGATAGCTATTTATTTTTAACTTACTGTGTTGATGACTTTTTAAATTTCAGTGTCCAAAATCTCATAAAATCTGTATATTTGAACAGTGTTTTTTATCATCTTCTATCCTTTTCTGATCACTACCATTGTATATCTGTATGTTTTCATGTCAATTTATTTGTGAAATTTTGCCTTTAATGATTCAATATACACCTTCCCATGTATGATACAGCCTAATTAATTACAACTGTATGTTATTCTGTTGGGTTGATGAATCATTTTTAATAAAATTATAAAAATTTAAAATTTACTACACAGACTACTATTGAAAAGTCTTTAAGAGTTTTGCTTTTGCCAACAGTTTTGCAGATTCACGTTGAAGAAATTTACTCAGTAAAAGAAATGGGTTATGACCAATTTATCATAATTCTTAAAAATTTGAAATAATCTATATCTTAAATATATTAATGAATAATTGAAGGCTAAAATAGAATTTGACAGGACTTTGTGTAGACATTAAAAATTATCATGAGAGGCCAGCAGTGAGCGTAATGGCTATGTCGCTGAACTCCCATGTAGTCGACCATGGTTCAAGTCCTAGATCCGGTGGCTTAAACTTACGTCAGGCACGTGTGTGTGCGTGCCCAAGATCCCGAGAGGAGAATGGAGGAGAAGGGATTGCAGCATGGCCATCCCCCCGGGGGGGTGATTTCTCACTTTCTGTCTCTCTCTGTCTGGCAAGCGCATGTGCCCTATAGCAAAAACCTCTCCCCCCAAAAAAATTATCATGAAATTTGAAAAAGCAAAGTTTTGAACTGTATTATGAAATTATAACTATGTAAACTACTTATTTATCAGCACAAAACTGGGATAGATACCCAAATACGAAAACGGTTGATGTGTTAGGATGGGAGGATTTTGTTGTATGTCACTGTTTTAAGAATTTTTTGAACATTATTTTTCCAGTCATAAAACTTTAAAACCTTATCATATTCTCTTCAAAAGAATATTTCAAATGAATTTTTTGAGAGGTTTTTGTGTTTAACACACAAAAGAGGAAAATGGAATTATTTTATATGGAAATTCTCGTGTATATATAAAATTACCTGCTATTAATTCAGATAAGAATACAGATTATTATAGATTGTGATAAGAATATATCATTTAATCTCTAAAATAACTGAAAAATAGAAGCAAAGATCTGAAAAGTAAAAGACAAGCTAGAATTTTTTTTTAAAGTTACTTACTCTGGAAGTGGTTAAGAAGTGAAGGACCAGCTCTGTGGCCTAGTGAGTTAAAGGAGTCAGATCCCACTTGGCCAACTTGGAGGTCTGAATCCCAGCCCAGGCAGCTTGAAAAACATGCCAGGCATATATGTGTGCCTGCCCAAATCCTCACAGGATTGACAAATGGGGGAGAAGGGATTGGATTGCAGCATGACCATCCTCCCAGGGAGAGTGTACTTTCTCGTTCTCTCTTGCTCACTCTCTCTTGATGAGAGCATGTGTCCTACAGCAAGTTTAAAAAAAAAATTTTTTTTAAAGAAGTAAAAAATGCAAGAATCAGAGGGGAGGAGCCAGCAGATGACGCCCTGATTACATAACTGGACTCCCACACGGCTGACTGCCATTCAAGTCCCAGACCCAGTGGCTTGAAAATCACACCATATGTGTGTGTGCCCAAGACCCTGGGGGGAGAATGGAGAAAAAGGGATTATAGCATGGCCATTCCCCCTGGGAATGACTTTTCACTTCTCCCTGTGTCTATCTCTCTTTCTCTCTCTCCAGTGAGCACATATGCCCTAAGGCAAAAATCTAAAAAAAAAAAAACAATCAGGAGAAATTATTTACAATGTGTGTCTCTGACATAGGATTCACATCCATAATACATAAAGCACTTATATAAATTAATAGAAAAGTTAGTTTGTAGATGTCATGGCAATGCTAAATTTCCATTAAAATTTGTAAGTGCTTTTTCTTAATTACTAACTTAAATGTATGTACCAGCAAGAAACTGTTTGCATACTGTCACAGGTCAGAGGGCTACACTTTGAGGAGCACTGCCTTATCAACATTAGCTCATATAACTCACTCAATTGTATCACTTGCATGAGCTGCGTTTCTTCTTCCAAATGTCCAGGACAGAGAATGACCCTTAACCTACATGATCATTAATAAGTTCCCATTTATTTCCATTATGAAATTGTGGTAAGCAGCTCTATACATTTTTTTAAATTAATTATTATTTTTAATTTTGCCATAGGGCACATGTGCTCACCAGGGACAGAGAAAGTGAGAAAGCAAGCCACTAGCCACTAGCAAAAACCGTGGTCAGCCATGTGAGAGTCCAGTGCCTTAACCACTATGCCATTTGCTGGATCTGCAACTCTCTAATTTGATGTAACATTTCATTTCTGGGAAGCTGGGAATTGGGAGCCTTTTACAAAGAATTTCTTGTGTATTTGCGTGATGAAACCTCAACAGTTGCTCTGAAATCAAGACTTTGGGAAGAACCTCGTTACAAAAGTGTCGTCGTTTGCCTTTGACATATTTTAATGAACTTTTTCTTTGTATAGTTCAGCTACTTTTTGGTCTGTTGTACTGAGCAATCTTTTTATTTTAAAAGAGTTATTTTATTTATTATTATTTTTAAATCTGCTATAGGGCGCATTGTGCTCACCAGAGAGAATAAGAGAGAGAAAGTGAGAAAGCAAGCTGCTAGGTCTAGGACTCAAACTGCTGTCGGCCCTGAGGGGATCCAGCACCTTAACCACCATACCAACTGCTGGCCCCGTACTTAGCAGTCTTTATTTTCTCATTTAGGGTACATCAGTGAAGGGTTCGTGGCTGTGCAACATGCCGTGGACAAGGCCATCATGCGGTATCACAACAGCACTGCGGCACAAGCGCTGCTTAAAGATGTCCACATTTTTATTCAGAGATTTCCACATGCATCATATTATCATGATTACTTCTTTCTGTTTTCTGGTATTTTCATCCCTCTACTAATTCTATGTATCTTCTCTCTGAATCATCTTACCCTTGTCCAATCCATCGTGTGGGAAAAGGAAAAGAAATTGAAGGTAACTCGACGTGTGTGTGTGTGTGTGTGTGTGTGTGTGTGTGTGTAGTAGATAGAACTTATATGAAAAATTTGGGAAAAATTGGGGACCTATGGGGCAAATCTATGTGAAGACTTGGACCATGTCTACGCAGTCAATACTGTTGGGTGGTTATATTTCAGTAGCAGCCACGAAGGGAATATTTATGTCCATTGGCAACTTTCTATATTTTTATTTTTATTGAATTCTTGGTACGGTTTTTAGTTTTAGTTCTGTAAGACCACTTCAAAGAATGTTATATATAGAATTTAAATGCTAAATTCCCTAAATTATCTTCGGAATAAAGAAATAATCAGCTTGAAATTATAGCTAGATGAATTTAGATACAGTAATTCCACAGTTCTAGGATTCTGTGATATTTTTTAACCGATTTCTGATCTTTGAATTTCTTTTTTTCTAAACGACCTTCAGAGTCCCCTTCAGTATTGATCCGAAGTGTGTTGTATTAAGTCAAGGGCTTTGAAGGCTAATATGCAGCCATCACCCATTTAACAAATGATTCATTCAATGACTATTTCTTATAGATTGATTAGGTACCTACTTTCTTTAGAGGCTTTGATGATAGGTTTTAATACTGGGTCTATTCCTTATTTGCTCAATAGCATTTTTTTGCTTATTTCCTCAGATGTAAATTGAGATTAATAATACCCAACTTGGAGGGTTGTCATGATACTGTATGAAAAATTATGACTCCCAAGCACCAAATCTTACTGTCGTAGTGAAGAAATACATGGAGAGTGTTTAGTACAGTGTCTGGTACATACTAATTGTGAGACGTAGCTTTGAATGTCATAGTACTCAGTAATTGTGAGAAGTAACTTTGAATGTCACTGGTCTGTCCATGTCATTTCTCTGCTTTGCATAATTGTGAGCCGTGGCATGTTCTCCTGTTAGTTTCTTAACGTTAACACCACTTTCCAGGTCAGGCTCACATCATTTCTCACCGTCTAACTCTTTTCACTCAGGGGCTCTTTCTGTTCATCTCCCTACCCACTATCCCACCCCCTAATCTTCCCTGTAATTGTCTGTAACATAGATGGCTATAAATAAATGTTAATAATTTGCTGACTGATAAAAGATACCATTTTCTGACTCATTGAAGATATCATTTCCTAATGCCTTTCTTTCATACTGGGGCCTTTGAAAATCAAAAGTTCTTAATCATTTTTATAACTTTTACTATCATTTCTCATTTACATACGACAGCTGTACATCTTTGTGGGACTCGGTGTATTTTTTTTTTTTTAAAAAAAACATGTATCCAAAGTGTAACCATCAAATCAGGGCAATAAATATTCTCCCTTCTCCGACATTCATCATGACTTTGTTGATCACAATCAAAACCTGTTTTTCTGGTTATCTTAAAACATTATATTGAGTTGTCACTCGTGTTCTTTACTGTGCTATCGTATTCTACAAACAATCCCACTTATTTTCATAAACTCTAATATCTTCTAACTGAGTCCCCCCATCTCTCAACCCTCTTCCCTTTCCATTTTCTGGCATCCATTATTACACTCTCCATGTATACAGTATAATCTATTTGCTTTCACTGATGAGTGAGGACATACAGAATTTGTCTTCTAGAACATGACTTGTTTTTACTTAGTATTGTTTGTTCCAGAGTCATCAAGGTTGCCTCAAATGGCAAGAATTTATTCTTTTTTTTTTTTGGCTGAATAGTATTTCATTGTGTACATACACCACATTTTCTTTATCGATTCATCAGTTGTTGGTCACTTAGGTTATCCGTATCTCAGCTACTGTGAATAGCACTGTTCTTTTATTCCTGTTGTTCTCTTTACCTAAAAAGTCTTCCTTTTCCCCATACTACTATGTCTCCATCTGTGACTCAAAAATTTCTTGAAGTTTTCCTCTGTGAGATTTTACATACATATTTTAGCTGCTGCTATATATAGCTCATAACAAATATATTTGCTCATGATGCTAATAGTGCACTAGCCACACAGTATTAGTATTGTTTGTACAATGCTTCCACTGGATTTTAAACCCTTGGAAGCCCAACATATTAATATATAGATCTCTAATGCCTAGAAATATCCCTTTAAAATACTAAACAAATGTTGGCTAAATTAAATTACTACACCGTCAATTTGCAGCTCAAAATGGCATTTTTATTTTATATTCATTCACTAAGCATCATCATAGCATATAAAATGAAATTTCCCATCTTGAATACACTGTATAATGGCTTAATCATACATGTTATCATCTACAAATAATTTTCCAGTTCTTGTTTCTATTCACTATGATTTACACATTGACATAGAAATGTTTTTGTTTTCAAATAACATGCCAACAGTCTTTTATTCATTAATTCATTCATCCATCTATTAAACAATGATTCATGTTATGCTTCAGACATGTATTATTTTAAAAGTTGTACAGCAATAGCTTCAAAAATCTTAATATAATAATTTTTATTTAAATAAATTTCTAGAGTTGTATTGTCATTCAAATGACAAGGCTAGTACCTAAGAAAGCTAACAACTCTGCTACTTTTATATTTGCATTTTAATTTAAACTACACAGATTTCCTTAACATATCAGAAATTAAATGTTTAATACATTTCAAGTCCAAAAAAATTAAAAGCTTATTACAGAACTGAAATTGCAAACAAAAATCTATTTTTAATGCATTTATTTATTTTAAATTGACAGATAAAATTGTATTTTGCATATACAACACATTTTGAAGTATATATACATTGTGGAATGAATAAATCAAACTAATTAAAATAGGCATTATGTCACATTACTATTATTTTTAGTAAGAACATTTAACCTCCATTGTCTTACCATTTTTCAGAATAAATATATCATCACTAACTTGCCATCATGAATACAATAGATTTCTTGAACTTATTCCACTTATCTATTATTTTGCATTTTTTGAGCAACATTTCCTCAATCCCTACTTCCTAACCACTCCAGCTCTTAGTAATCACTATTCTACTCTCTACTTTAAGAAGATTAACTTTTTTAGATTCCACAGAGGAGTGAGACAATGTGATATTTGTCTTTCTTTGTTTAGCTTATTTAACTTATAATGTCCTCCAGGTGCATCCATGCTGTCACAAATTGCAGGATTTTTTTTTTTTTGGCTGAATAGTATTTCATTGTGTACATACACCACATTTTCTTTATCGATTCATCAGTTGTTGGTCACTTAGGTTATCCGTATCTCAGCTACTGTGAATAGCACTGAAATAAACATGGAAGTGCAGATATCTCTTCAACATATTAGTTTTCTTTTAAGTATATACCCAGCAATAGGATTACTGATTCATGGATAGTTCTATTTTTTTATTCTACTTTATTATAAAATTCTTGAGGAATTTCTATATTGTTTTCCATAATAGCTATACTAAGTGGGTCATGGAGAAAGTCACGATGCGTTTTTTGCATAGGAAAACATGTCATGACTTTCCTGACAACCTAATAATTCACATTCCCACCAACAGCACACAGAGTTCCCCTTTCTCCACAGCCTCAACAGCACTTGCTAGTCTTTGTTTTCTTGGTTTATAATAGCCAATCTAATTGGAGTAATGTCATATCTCATTGTGATTTTGATTTGCATTTCCTGGCGATTACTGATGCTGAGCATATTTTCCATATACCTATTAGCCATTTGCATGAATTCTCTTGAAAATTGTGTGCAGATTAATTGCCTGTTTTTAAATGGAATGATTTTGGTTTTGGCTGGTTAACTGTTTGAGTTCCTTGTATAATCCTTTGTCAGAAGCATAACTTGAAAATATTATCTCATTCTAGAAGTTGTCTCCTCACTCTATTGATATTTCCCTCACTGTTCAGAAGCTCTTTAGTTTGATATAATCCCTTGTGTAATCTAGTTCTCTTTTCCCACTGGAGAATCCATGAGCAGGGAGAATCTGATTTGTGTGTTATTGTGTTGACTTAGGGCAGGAGAGAGAGATGATAGGGTGAGACTATTCCCCTTTCCCTTCTAATATACCTTTACTTGGTTCTGAGGTCAACACAGGTGTCTCAGGCTTATTCTCAAGTTGGGAGATATTTTAAAAATTGCATGTGCTCACTAGGAAGAGGGAGGGAGGGAGGGAGGGAGGGAAAGAAAGAGGGAGAGAAAGAGAGAAAGCACCCTTCCCCCAGGGGGATGACCAAGCCACAATCCCTTCTCCATTCTCCACTTGGGATTTCAGGCACACACACACACACACACACACACACACACACACACACACATGTCCCTATCATGTCTTTCAAACCTTCAGGACCAGGACTTCACAATCCCTCAGTTGGCTATGTGGGATCCATCTGCCTCAACTACCATACTACTAGCTAGGCCAGGTTTTGGAACTTTTCTAGATATGTCCTCCTCTGAATAAATTGCAAGTTGAACTTTCTATGGAAAATAGTAGTTGCTATAAATGCAGTTGTGGTTTTGGACTGAATTTTAAATCATTATAACTAGGCTCAAACATATCTTTATTAATCAAAATAGGAACCCTTATGATCAACACATTTTTGCCAATGCGAAATAGGCTTCTTTATTCCTGTAGCTTAGGATATATACTGTTAATTAATATAATTTCCCCCTTATACTTCATTTCTACTTTTTTTAATAAGTTGAGCTTATCCTTAAAGATATCAATCTGTTTCTCACTTCTATCCTGATAGTACCAGCATGCAAGTACTCTAGTTTTTAAATAAAATTTGAAATTAAGTAAAGTCTTCTCACTTTCTTGTTCTTCTTCAAGAGTTTTTTGACTATTCCTATACCTTTATATTTCTATTTCCAATTTAGAATCAACTTGTTGATTAAAAAAAAGAAAAAGAAACCTGGGATTTTTGAGATTGCAAATTGCAAATTAGAATTGAAATTCTATAATATTGACTCTTCCAATCCATGAATATGGTATATTACCTTATTTATGCCTTCAAAATTACTTGTAATTATGTTTTATAAGCTTTTTATGTAAAAGTATGTACATTATTCATATGTTGATGAGGTCATGGACAAAAGGAAAGGTTTCTTTTTTTTTTTTTTTTTCCTTGGAGAGATTTTCACTGTAGGGCGCGTGCGCTCACCAGACAGACAGAGAGAGACATAGAGACAGAAAGCAAGAAATCACCCCCCAGGGGGGATGGTCACGCCGCAATCCCTTCTCCATTCTCCTCTCGGGATCTTGGGCACGCACGCACACGCACCCGGCGGGAGTTTTAAGCCACCGGATCCGGGACACGAACCGCGGTTGACTACGTGGGGAGTCCAGCGACATAGCCATTACGCTAACTGCTGGTTCCCAAGGAAAGTTTTGTACACTGTTGGTGGGAACATAAATTGGCATAGCCATATGGAAAACACTATAAAAGTTTTTCAAAAAATATCTAGCAACCCCACTTCTGGCTTTGTATACAAGTGAAGTGAGTTCAGTTTCTTAAGGAGATGATATTCCTTTTCTTCAGTTACTTGTTCTTTGGGTGCCATATCCAAGAATCCATTTGCCAAATCCAAGGTCATGAAGGTTTACCTTTATGTTTTCTCCTAAGAGTTTTATATTTTTAGCTCTTATATTTTAGGAGTCTTATCCATTTAAGTTTTAAAGTAATGTCAAGTAGAGTCCAATTTTATTCTTTTTCATGATATTTTTGTTGGCCTGGCACCATTTTTTGTACCCCCACCCATTGAATTATTTTAGCATCAATGTAAAAATTCACTTGGCCCTAGATATGTGACTTGTGTGTGTGTGAACTCTCAATTCTATCCCATTAATCTTCTTAGGATTTCTTTGCTTTTATTTTATTTTGAAAACCAAATAATCGTTATGTATTGGTCTATTTCTGAACTAGCTTATTTTGTACCATTTATCTATTGATGTATTTGTCTTTCCTTGCGCCAGAACCACACAGTCTTGGTTATTGGTAGCTTTGCAGTAGTTTTGAAATTGGGTAAAATAAATCCTCCAGCTTTTTTTTTCTTCAAGATTGTTCGGCTATTGTAGATCCCTTGAATTTCTGTGTGAATTTTAAGATATGTTTTTATTCCATGTAAAATAGCCAGCAGATGGCACAAAGGTTAAGGTGGCTGCATGTCACATGGCCAACAGTAGGATTGGAGTTCCAGTCCCAGGGGCTAATAAGACATGCTGGGCCCAGGTGAATGCAAGCTCAAAGTCCCAAGTGGAGAATGGAGAAGGGATGGTGGCTTGGCCATGCCCACCTTGGGTTTTCTTTCTTACTTCCCCTCTCTATCTGTCTCTGTCTGGCAAGTATGTGCACCATTTATTTATTTATTTTTGAGAGGTTGTTGCTATAGGGTGTGTGTGCTTGCCAGAAAGACAGAGACAGAAAGCAAGAAATAACCCCCCAGGGGGATGGCCACACTGCAATCCCGTCTCCTCTCAGAATCTTGGGCACATACGCACACACACTTGACGTGAGTTTAAGTCACTGGGTCCAGGACTCAAACCATGGTCAACTACATGTCCAGCGATATGGCCATTACGCCAACTGCTGGTCCCAAGTATATGCACTCTTTAGCAAGTTACTAAAAAAAAAAACAAAAGGTGAGAGAGATTTTGAATGGTATTGTGTTCAAATAATTGAATGAACAGATGGGCTATATTTTCATTTATTATACATTCTTTTATTTCTTCCAACATTGTTTTATAATAGTTTCTATATATAAGTCTTGTACTTCTTTTGTTAAATAAATTTTGCCATTTTAATTCTTTATTAAAACTTGTTAAGTAGCTTTTGCTCTAGCATTGATTCCTAGAAAAGTTATAGGGGTGCTTTTTCTCTCTATTTTTGTCCCCTGTGAGTAATAAATTGGGCCTATATACATATCTTAAACTTTGGAAAATAACCAGATGTCCACAGAGCCTCAAATTTATTCATTCATTCATTCGTTGAACAATCGTTTACTAAAGCATCTTGTTTATCCAGGCAGATACAGATACATGCCCTTGAAGAAACTAAATTTACAAAATTTAATAATGACATTGATAAAATTTAATAAACATATTTAAAGTAACCTCTGAAAAGTCCTAACACTCATTTGAATTATTTTTTCTGAGGCTTTTGCCATAGGGCGTGTGTCTTCACCAGAGAGAGACAGACAGTGAGAGGGAAAGTGAGAAATCATCCCCCAGAGGGAATGGCCATGCTGCAGTCCATTCTCCTCCTGGGATTTCAGGCATGCATGTACACGTGCTTGGAATAATTTTCAAGCCACCAGATCCAGGACTCAGACTATGGTCAGCCATGTGGAAGTTCAGTGCCTTAACCACTATGCCACCTGCTGGCCCTTGAATCATGTTTTTTAAAAATAATTGTGCTATTATAGGGGTGCACACTCACCAAAGAGAAAGAGAGGAATAAATCACCCCCTAGGGGGGATGACCATCCCACAATCCCTTCTCCTCCATTTTCTTTTTGGGATTTTGGGCACACATACATACATGCTGACATGTGTTGAGGCTGCTGGGTCTGGGACATGAACTGCTCAGTCAGCCATGTAGGATACAGTAGCCTTAACCTCCATGCCACCTGCTGGTCCTGAATCTTCCCATTGATCTTGTTTGTACCTGACATTATTAGCTTAATCCTTGTGCTGCTCTTTTGTTAAAGCTTTGAATACTGTATATTTTTATAAACAACTCCTTCTGAAGAAAATGTGTAGTTCATAAGGATTATTGCTGAAACTGAACATTTTTTCCTTATTTTTATCCTAGCTTTAGTGTTTGCTTTTAATCTTCATAATTGAATTAAACTACCTTTACATTTTTAATACCTCCTGAAAGAGGATATAATAAAAAGAAAGGGGATGTTAATGTAACTAGTTTAAATATTTTTATGTCTTAATAATATAGGGTTAAATTACTGATAAAACTGTCTCTACACTTATAAGAATCACAATTTTGTCACTTGGTAACTGAGCAAGTTTAATCAAGATACTTGACATTCTGAGCCATGATTATTTTCTCCTCTATAATTAGATACTAATATTTATTATTTAACTTTCACTATAGACATTAAATTAGATAATATTTCTGAATGTTTCTTAAAAATTTTAAGACACTGTATGTTTTTACTATTTTACATGATGCTTGATTTGTGTTACCTCTCCCGCAGGAATACCAGCTCATGATAGGACTCAGTAATTGGATGCTCTGGGCTGCCTATTTCTTCACTTTCCTCTGTTTGTATTCTGTTACCATCATTGTTTTATGCATTATTTTATTTGTCAAGGCAAGTGTCCTTTTGACTGTGGCATGCACACCTAAACCTTGAGAGGGAAAACAGAAACATGGTATTGGCCTAATGCGTCCCAGATTGCTCAAGAATGAGCATGTGGCTTTTGTTGACTCTGCTGTGATAATTCAGAGACTGCTTAGTCTCTCTGCAAACTAAATTTTGAAACCAAGATGGGTGAGCCTTCTTTAAGAAATGAATTAACTCCTCATCTCATTAAACAGTGTCATCAATTTCACCAGAACTATAGAAAAAAAAAATTTTTTTGGAGAGGTTTTCGTTATAGGGTGCGTGCGCTCGCCAGACAGAGACAGAGAGACAGAAAGTGAGAAATCATCCCCGAGAGGGGATGGTCACGCCGCAATCCCTTCTCCTCCATTCTCCTCTTGGGATCTTGGGCACACACGCACACGCGCCCAGCGTGAGTTCTAAGCCACCGGGTCCGGGATGCAAACTGCGGTCACCTACGTAGGAGTCCAGCGACATAGCCATCACGCTAACTGCTGGTTTCCCCCAGAACTATAGACATATTTAAGAATGTTTCATTTCTCCTTTTCCATTTTGGTGTGATTTCACAGAGAGCATAACTAAATGGGCTTCTTGATTGTTTGCTAGATTGAACCTGCACCTGTGCTTCAATACAGTGACCCAACTCTTGTCTTCGCCTTTTTACTCTTGTACGCCATCGCCACAATATTCTTCAGTTTTATGACTAGCACGTTCTTCAGTAAAAGTGAGTCTAAGATTCCTCTCGTGAAGAATTCTCAGGGGCTAAGCAAATAATGTATTTGGTAGTGCCTTTTGAACTTTAGTCAACACCTCAGCTATAAGCTCTGTTTACATTCTAACTGAAAGCAGTAGTAAGCACGTGGAATGATTTGAAAGGGAATGAAGAAAGCAATGAAAAATAACATAGCACAGTATACATGTGGAAAGAAGAAAAAAACAAAATAGAGTTATATGCTGATGTTCTTTTTACTCCTTACCTGCTACCTCATGTATATTTTCCACCAAGTAGAGGGAGTTTTTTTATCCCTACTTTACTGAGAGTTTTTATGCATAGATATTGGTTTGTCAGAAAACTTATGACATATTTTTCTATGCAAAAATGTGTCATGACTTGTCCAACAACCCAATAGATAGGTATAGATATGGATATGAATTACTGTCAGATTTCATCAAATGCTTTTTCTGCATCTATTGATATGATCATGTGACTTTGTTTTTTAAGCTGTTGTGGTTGGTTACATTCATTGATTTTCAAATGTTGAATCAACCTTGTGAATCTTTTCTTTTTTTTTTTTTTTTTGGAGAGATTTTTGCCATAGGGCGCGTGCGCTCGCCAGACAGACAGAGAGAGACAGAGAGAAAGAAAGCGAGAAATCATCCCCCCAGGGGGGAATGGCCATGCCATAATCCCTTCTCCTCCATTCTCCTCTCAGGATCTTGGGCACGCATGCACATGCGCCCGGCGTGAGTTTAAGCCACCAGGTCCGGGACTCGAACCGCAGTCAACTACGTGGGAGTCCAGCGACATAGCCATTACGCTAACTGCTGGTCCCAACCTTGTGAATCTTGAATAAATCCTACTTAGTTGCAGTGTAAAATGATTTTAATACATTGCTATATTTTATTTGCTATCTTTTTTTTGAGTGTTTCACATCTATGTTTGTGAGAGATATTGATCTCTAGTGTTTATTTTTTCTTAAAAAGTTTTTGTCCGTTTTTTGTGTTAGGGTAATGCTGATCTCAGAATGAGTTAGGACATATACTCTTTGCTTCTATCTTTTGAAAGAGATTGTAGAAAATGTACTTAATGTTGTTCTTTAAATTTTTGGTTTAATTCACCAATGAACCCATCTTAGACTGGTACTCCTTGTTTTTTTTGTTTTTGTTTTTCTTTTTTTGGAGACTTTTTTTTTTTTGCTCTAGGGCGTGTGCGCTCATTAGAAAGACAGAGAGAGACAGAGAGAAAATGAGAAATCACCCCCCCCAGGGGGGATGGCCACGTCGCAATCCCTTCTCCTCCATTCTCCTCTTGGAATCTTGGGCACGCACGCACACACACCCAGTATGAATTTAAGCCACTGGGTCCGGGACACGAACCGCGGTTGACTACGTGGGAGTCCAGCGACATAGCCATTATGCTAACTGCTGGTCCCAATACTTCCTGTTTTTAAAGGTTATTAATTATTGATTCAATTATGTGTGTGTGTGTGTGTATATATATATACACACACACACACACACGCCTCAGATTGTCTGTTTCTTATACAAATTTTGGTAAGTTGTATCTTTCATGGAATTGGTTCATTTGTTTCTATAAACACATTTTTTTATTATGGTTCATAGGTCCTGTTGTGGGCACAGAGTTGTTCATAGTATTTATTATCCTTTTAGTGTTTATAAGATCTGAGTGATACTTCCTTTCATTTCTGATATTAATGATTATGATTCTCTTTTTTCTTAGCAGAGCTAGATATTTATTGATTTTTATTGGTCTTTTCAAAGAGCTAGCATTTGGTTTCATTGATTTTTTTTTTCCCTACTCCCTCCATTTCTCTGTTTCTCTCATGAGCAAACATGCTCTCTGGCATATAAACAAAACAAAACAAAAATAATTACATTTTTGGGACCCCTAATACTCTAAACTACATAAGATTCTTTGCCACCATCTTTGTCTTTCTCTGTTTAGTCAGACATTCTTAATTTTCCCTGGTATCACAACATAGACTGAATTTTATAATGTCTGGAATCTAGGTATCTTCTGATTATGCCAACTAATTATAAATTTTCATTTATAATTTATGTTGAGTGTTGTCATGTAAGTAAAAATGTAGATTTCCTTTAAATGCTGCATTATTTATAATCACATATAAATGATTTCAGAAAAGTTAGTTTCTCAACTATTTAAGCATTTTATTCATTAAAAAATACCGGGTTGTCGGAAAAGTCATGATACATATTAAAAAAAAAAATCATGATTTTTCTGACAACCCAATATTGAGATACAACAGCTGTAGTGCAGCAGTAATGAAAATACCCTGAAAACCTAGAAGTCATATCCTAATCATGGGTTAGAATCCTTGGGTCAGCCTGAAAATGGACCTGGTAAAACATACAGGTGCCCCGGATCTTGAGGATTTGAAGGGCTGGGGAGAGGAAGAGGAAAGGGAATCACATTGTGAGGAGAACTTGTTGAGGGGTTCTTTCCCTCTCTCTCGCTCTCATGCATCCACACCTGCTCTCTAAAAAAAAAAAAAAAAAAGGAAGAAAAAAGAAAAGAACAAAACCTAAAAAGTGAAAAAAACAAATACTTTTGAGCACTTATTATGTTCCAGGTATTGTATTACATTCTTGAGGAAGCCACGGCAAACCAGACAGACAAGTGTTTCTCATAGAATTAGTTTTAGTTTTAGTTCACTCTTATAATGAAGATATTAACGTTTTAGGTTTTTGAAGATTGCTTGAACTGACCTTCTAATTCCTTTCTATTTCCAGCCAATTTTGCTGTTGCCTGGGGAGGTTTGTTGTTTTTTGTCATCTACTTTCCAGCTAGTAGCCTTTTTATGCACTATGCACAGATGACATTCATCAGGAAGCTGGTTTTCTGTCTCAGCTCAAATTATGCAATGGCACTGGGCGTGAAATTTCTAGTTGAAGCAGAGAAAGGCAGTGAGTACTTATAAACTTTGCCATGTTCAAGTAGGTATATCTTTGCTATCTTATTGAATATTCATAGTTTTCATTTTGATTGATATTGCTAAGCTGTCCTTCAAAAATTTATGCTTATTTATGCTATCATCTATAGTATGTGAGGGCTTCCACATTTTCTCCAGAAATTTCCTGCAAGTATGGTAGGGCCTACCTGATGTAGGGTGGTAAGAGAGGAGGTGACACCATCTTTTTCTGGTAACTTTTTTCTTTTTCTATCAGCCAATGTCTATGAAAAACATTCTCCTAGTGTTCTCTCGTCTAGTCAGTATCTATCCCTACTTTTATTTTCTTCAGGTGTTTTTGTTTGTTCTTTTTGTTTTTTGCCACAGGGCACATTCACTCGCTAAAGAGAGACAGAGAGAGGGAAAGTGAGAAATCACCCTCTGGAGGGATGGTCACCCAAAATCCCTTCTCTTCCATTCTCTTCTTGGTATTATGGGCATACACACATGCACACACGCACGCACACACACACGTACCACATGATTTTCAACCCACTGGGCCCGGAGCTTGAACTACAGTGGGCCATGTGCGAGTCCAGCACCTTAGTCACCATTGCCACCTGCTGGCCTCTCACCCCTACTTTTCAATGACTCTGCTTTTTCCAAAATTATGTATTTGGTGAACATTTAGCATGAGGCAAGATATAGAGAGAGAAGCTGCCATTTAAACCCATAGGCCTGATTTTTTTTTCCTTGAAACTTATTTTCTTACTTTTGAGTATATATAGGTTTTATTTCAGTAAGTGAACACTATTTGCTTGTTTAGAATATAACACTGAGGGCTTCACTTGATTACTTAGATGTTCTCTGGCACAACTGAAAAATTTTAAGGGCATAAGAAAGATGACAACTTCAATAGGAATCTGTATGTATAAAGTATCAACATTATTTTCTTCACATGCAGGTGGATAACTCTGTTTAAGTTTCAGTTGGTGTCTCATTAAATGTCTCCTATTATGCCTTAGAAATTGGAATTAAATGGAGTAACATTGTCTCATCACACAATCTGGACAACTTTTTATTTGTCTATGTTTTGGGAATGTTTGTATTTGATGCTTTCTTATATGGCCTTGTGACCTGGTATGTAGAAGCTGTCTTTCCAGGGAAGTATGGTGTGCCCAAGCCCTGGAATTTTTTCTTACAGGTGAGTGCTACTGCTTTTGTTATTAATGTAGGCCATATTCCTTATGGACCTGCTTCATAGTAATTATAAAAGCCACCATGAGTTAATTTTGAACTAAGAATCTTTATCTACAGTCAGCCATATTAATTCCCCAGCCTTTTCCTAATATACTCAGCCCTCCAATATATACAAGGGGATTTCAAAGAGTTTGTGGGAAAATGGGATTAAAGTACAAGTTTATTTTCATGCAGAAAAAGTGAAATTCATGCTTAGTTTTTTTTTTTCTTTTGTTTCCTTTTCTTTCTTTTCTTTTTAATTTGCCAGAAGGCACATGCACTTACCAAAAAGACATAGAGAGCGAGGAAAGTGAGAAAACACCCCCAGTGGAGCCTGGTTATGCTGCAAGTCCTTCTTCTTTCCCTCCCTCCTTTTCAGATTTTGGACATGCATGCACATGTGCCTGCCATGTTTTTCAAGCAGCCAGAGTCCAGGACTTAAACAGCACAGTCAGCCATGTAGGATCTAGCTGCCTTACTCACCTGATCTTAGACTAGCCCTACATAGTTTTCTCATAATATTTTTTCCCATTAACTTTTTGAAGGATCTTTATATAAACATAAAAAGTCTGTAGATCATATCCTGAAACCCAAAATTTTGTAAATTGTAAGTCATCCATCACTTTTGCAGGAAGATGTGTAATTAAGCATTGAACTCCAGTGTAGAGAAATTAACATATTATGGGTCTTTGAAGACAGACAAGGAGAGGGTTAGTTATGTCTGAGCTCTCACGCCTTGCTCTATTCAGTTGGTTACCCCACATTTCTTAGAGTCAGAACCAAATAGAGAAGATGTGTGCCTTGGCTTCTCTTCTAAATATTTTCTCATTTTTTTTTTTTAATTTGCCAAAGGGTATGTTCATTCACCAGAGAGAAACAGAGAGGTGGGGGAGTGAGAAAGCATTCCCATAGAAGGGATGGTTATGCTGCAATCCCTTCTCTTCCATCTCTTCTCCTTCTGAGATTTTGGGAAAAATCCAGGACTCAAACCATGCAGTCAGCCATGTGGGATCCACTACCTTAACCACTAGGTCATGGGTTGTCCCAATGTTTTCTCAAATCATCTTTGACTTGTGTATTGCTCACAAAAGATCTGACAGAGAGTAATATGCTTCTCACCATGACCTCATTTTCAAGTGATTTCCTTCTGTTTCTTTTGAGCAGTTATGATTTTAATAGTCTGAATTTTATATTTTTATATTTTTAAATTTATTTTATTTACATTTATTCACATGTTTTTACAGTGTACAACATTTCTTTTTTCCAGCACAAATACCATGCATGTCAATCAAGTCAAAGATATTACTATATAAATTATCATCAGCAAACAGCTCCTTATTTTCTGTCAATCAAACATATGTTTACTTTTTTCCTTCTCCCTTTCCTCCCTCCCTTCCATACTAAACTTTTTTTTCACATTTTATTAATTCACAAAAGATCTCAAACTAAAAGTATAGACAGTCTCTCTTCTCTGATTTTCAGTCATTTGGTGGTATATTCACTTTTGGCTAATTTGTTGATTTCTGCAACTGTAAGCTCACATGCTTCACTTTACTGTGAGATACTTCTATGCCAATTTCTCCTCTGCTACTGTGTTTTGCAATGTGGTATCCACAGAAAGAGATTTGAATTCAGATTTATGAAGATGAGTTTCTCACTTTCTGTAGCAGTATAGTGGGAGTTGAGATTTTCTATAACCCTAAAAGGATTCAGATGTTTCGCTGCTATGCAACTAGACCTGTCTAGACAGTCAATGTGTAGAAGCTCGCTATGCTAGGTGTGTTGGGTTGGAAGACGAGGTTTGGAGCAGAGGCTTTTTCAGTTAAAGGGACAGGGCTGGGCCTACCTCAGATGCACATGGATTCTCACTTTGCTAGGTGTTAAGTTGGAAGACCAGAATAGTCTCATTTTATACCTTGGGAGTTCATTATAGTCAACTAGCTTCAAAATTTAATCCCAAGAAATTTTCTACAATCCAAATTTTCTGCACTTCAAAAGCTAACAGGCCAAAGTACTTTTCTAATGCTTCATTTTTCACTGCCACAGTGCTGATTACCTTTTTATCTCCTCCTTAGCGCTCTTACTGGTTTGGAGGACCACCTGAGAAAGAACTGAAAACAAAGCAGTTTTATGAGACGATTGAAAACCAGTATTTTGAGGCTGAACCTACTGATTTAGTAGCAGGTATCCAGATCAAACATTTGTGTAAGGTATTGTTTCACATATCTTTTCTTTAGGGAGGGTGAAGTTTAGTTTACAGATCATTGTAAGTGTACATAACTGGAAATATAAGAAAAAGCAGATGCTAAGAAAAGGTCATAGCCTTCATGTTTATTTGCTTCAAGAAAGATCAAATGAAGTTTATACTGTATATAATAAAAAGTTACATCTTTCTCCTTTTTCCAGAATAGAAACAGATTTTCTATAAATTGTAATGTGTCTTCTATTAATTTTCTATTTTTTTAAAATTTGCCATAGGGCATGCTCACTCAATGGAGAGAGAGCAAGCACCCCCACGGGAATGGTCACATTGCAGTCCCTTCTCCTCTGTTTCTCCCGCCTTCCAAGATTTTGGACATGTTTGTACACTTGCCTGGCATGGTTTCCAAGTTCCCAGATTTGGACTCAAACCTCACAGTCAGCCATGTGGGATCCAGCTGCCTTAACCACCAGGTCATCAGCTAGCCCAGCTCTCATTTTTAAAAGTAGAGTCTAGTAGAGCTTAATGATTTAAATATGAAAACATTAATTTTTGTTCACAAATTTTTTTTGTTTGTCTATTTATAATGTTTATAAGGAGGGATATTTGGACCTCTCAATTTACCTGGGTCATCTGTAGTTCTATAGTGTTCAAACTTTTTTTTTTTTTTTCCCTCTCAAAAATCTATTTAAGCTTGATTTGAGCTCTTAGCTCTATATCTTAGAGAAATCAAAAGCACTTGCAAATTTGGCCAATTTAAAGAGTATGTTGTTCTCTCTGCCTCTAGTATGCTACATGCTGGTGTTTTGTTTTGGTTACATGAACCCAGATGCAAAATTATTAAGTCTTATCCCTGATGTCTCAGGAAATTCATTCATTTCAGACATGTTTGTGACTGTTAATAATCTGTAATATAGATTGAGACTAGATGGGCTTTGCTCAAGGAACACAGGGACTGTGACTATTTCCCCAGTTCTACTTACAATTGTCTCCCACTTACCTAT